AAAAGAAAAAAAAAAGGGGGCGACCGTGGGAGGGATAGTTACTAGGAGGAATGAAAGGGCCAGAATTCCTCGCGCACAAGTGGCGACTCGCACCGCTAGTAGTGCAGATGCAGCATGGAAACCGTGCATACCCTTACCCTTCATGCCAGTAAACCAGCATTGGGTTTGCAACCTCAATCTGCCGAGCTTCCCTCGGTGGTCAAAAGAGGGGCGGACCGGCCGGACTTCTGCCACAAAGCATTACCTCCTTCAGCCACCACCCCCGGAATCCGTAAAAAAGGTGGCTTCCAGAAGATTACACCCGTCGCCCCAAAGGGACACCCTAGGCTACTCCGGGATACGGAGGGAGGAGAGGGATCGGGAATCCCTAGGCAATCCAGATTCACGGCAAAACTACGCCACCGCAAGAATCCTCAACGGAATGGGAATGGACCCCGGTGTCCTTTCCCCACCTAGGAAACAGAGGCCTGTGAGGAGAAATCACGAAGGCTAAAAAGAGGAAGGGCAAAAGGGAGGGGTGAGGAGGAGGAGGAGGAATGGAAAAAGGGGAGGATGGGGAGGATTGGATAGGGGAGGGGAGAATGGGGGGTAATTAGGTTCGGTCTGAGGAAGAAGACCGACAGGGCTAATTCCTCAGACCAAGAGCCTCTTCACCACGCCAAGGAGCCCCCCTTGAAGAGGACTGGTCTATGAAGAGACCCAGAGGATATTCATTTTTTTCAAGTGCTGTTTATAGTAATACAAGCATCTGAATAATTGCATCATTCGTGCTTTTATTCAGCCTAAACCCAAATTGACAGGGGTTCAGTATGTTATGGGATATTAGGTAGGAGCAGGTTTGTTTATGTATTATTTTTTCGAAGATTTCAGAGAGTAAGGCAAGTTAGATATTGGTCTGTAGTTACTTAGTTCTGTTGGATCACCGGCTATGAGGATCGGAGTGACCCTTGCCGTCTTGAGTATGGACGGGAATGTTGAAGATTCCACAGATTTGTTAATAGTGTTGCATTAATGAGGAACAGCACATAAGCTGCTTTTTTATACATGATTGGTGGCAGGTTATTTAGATCTCCTGTCTTGTTTTTTATTGTTGCTCGAATTATTAGTGAGATTCTGTCGGATTTGTTGGTTGCTGGATATAGGGTATTTGGGTATTTATCCTATGAGGTAAAGTCTTGTGGCTGAGTATTTTGCATTTGGGATTTTGCTTGCTAGTTTTGATCTTACAGTAGAAAAGAAGATATTAAGTTCATTGGCAGTGTCTATAGGCTGTATGTGTGGTTCATCTAGTGTTGCTAAGTTAATCTCTCAGTTTCTAGACAGTTTTCTTGAGCCCAAAATTTCAAGAGGAGGGTTTTCCAGGTCCTTTTTCTTATCCCTTTATTTCATTATATATATTTGCATAATAAACCATACCACGGGCGGGATTTGAACCCGCGGTCAGAGAGTCTCAAAACTCCAGACCTCCCGCCCGTGGTATGGTTTGTTTGCAATCGTGTCATTACGATTTCGTGAGTCATATTTGCATAATACATTTGTTTGGACTTCAGTATTAGATTAGTTAGTATTGACGTGTATTGTTTTGTTAGCTCTTTGGTTATTAGGCCGTCTGAATTATTTTTCATATAATGTTTTTTATCAATGGATTTAAGGATACTATTTGTAAACCAGGGGCTTAGTCTCTTTGCTGAGATCTTTGTTTTCATTGGACAATGTCTATTATAATTCTTCCTCCATAAGCCATGCGTGTTGTAAGAGGCGACTAAAATGCCGGGAGCAAGGGGGTAGTAACCCCTTCTCCCGTATAAATTACTAAATTTAAGAAAAACTTTCATTTTTCTTTTTGGGCCACCCTGCATTGGTGGGATACGGCCGGTGTGTTGAAAGAAAGAAATGTCTATTATAGAGGATCTGGGTTTTATGTAGAAATATTTCGACACATTCAACATATTTTTCGTGGCTGTCTGCTAACTCAGCCCAGCCAGTCCAGTTGTTAGTTAAGCATTAAACAAAAGTATTTACTGATAGCTCATCATGTAGTTGAAAAGAGATCTTAGTCGTGTCCTGATGTAGTCTACCTAAATTAGTTATGAGAAAGTTGGGTAGTGGTCTGTGATTATCCCTGAATAAGTGGGGATTAGAGTAAGAGTCAGAGATATGATCAATAATGAGTCAATTGTCTATGTCTTTTGTTGGTTTAGTTATAGAGGTAGTAGCTAACAGTTGTTTATAGGGTTTGTTAATTCAGCTATTTGGCATATTAAGGTTTATATTAACCCTTTCTGGGTGAGTCCGTCCGTTGATCTACGGCTTTATGTTCAGGGTCCAACGTGATTACGCCATGAGCTCAGCTCACTCTGATAAACTGTGGAGTGGTACATTTGGCCTAGATATGAGTGAATACAGCTATGTGTATGTGTGCACCACATTAAACAGTATCCTTGCCCTAAAGCACACTGTGTATAATGAGAGAAAAAAAAATGAAATTCATGATTTTTCGATTTAAAAACGCAACTAGTGCCAGTGTTTTTTTGTATTTTTTTATAGTTGTATTTGCGATTTCTTGGTCTCATTTGATAGAATGGAAGACTTATTACAGAAATTGAGATGATTTTGATTGTTTTTAGCAAGGGAAATGGCTTATGGGGCCTTTTGAAACTGAGCATTCAAAGTAGCAGAAATGTTAAATTTTTTTCTGCCGATATTCAAGAGTAAACAAACGACCCACCGTCTAATACACACGTCAAGCTGGTGATCGATGATCACGAATATACAGTTATTACAATATTGCAGTATAGTATAGCATAAACCGTAAATCTTCTATTTTTTGTTTGAATAAAAATTCCAAAATAGAAAGCATGAGTAATATCAGTGGAGGCCCATGGAGACATGACTGATGAACAAGTATAGAAATTGTTTTTTTAGAGCCAGGGAATGTGCATTGTTCATTCTGGACCCTTTTTTGAAAATTGTTCATATTTTTTAATTTCATGAAATTGGCCAAAATTGCAAATTCCTGCTGACCATCGTTATTGGGTAGTTCAAATTTGGTAAAATGGGCAGTTTCTTTGATACTCAATCGATAGAAAAAAAAAATGGACAACGTTCTAAAGAAAAAGCTATGAGTTTTGGTCGACTGGAACAATGGGGAATTAGCTGAAAATGGGCTCAAAGTGGGCGAAATCGCGATTCATATATATCGTCAATGGTAGCTAAATTTGTGAGAGTGTAATTCTGTCGTTTTCCATCTAATTTTGTTCTTTTGGTGTCATTACAATCGGGAAATGATTCCTCTATCATTTCATATAGAAAAATTAATTTTTTATTTTTCAGAATTTTTTGACACCAGGAGGGACGCATCAGGATTTGAGGTTGCAACAGTCCACTAAATGTATAAGTATTAGTGGAGGTAATCTGTAGACTGCTCCAACTGTTATGGATGAAATTTTGGAAGTTTTATATTCATCATATTTCATCCCTGGTGCCAAGTTGATTTATTACATTTTAGTTCATTAGAGAGTAGTTCCTCCTGGTTTGATCTAGTTTGTGAATGGCTGTTGTAACCAGGTAAGACATTGTTGTCTGTTTAATCATGTCTTGAGACAGGTTTCAGTGTGATGATAAAGGTATGTTACATTTAGAGAATTAAGAAGCATAAAGGAGGTCTAATCAACATAGTGTTTACTCAATAATATGATATTGTAATTGATTTCTGCAGGGCATGCTTGAGCGTTGTTTGATAGGAGTGGAATGGAGACATATGGTTTTTAATACTTTGACGTTGTGTTGGAGTGTGAGCAATGTAACATTTATGAAGGGATTCAGGGGTGGACAACCGGAAGGAAGGACTTTAGTCCTGGGAAGATGGGAAGTTACCAGTGCCTGCACTCTGAAGTGAGGGGAGGGTGTTAATGTAGCAGTTTAACAAACTGTAGTAGTGTAAGCAACTTCTGGCAAGACAGTGAATGGAGTGAATGATGGTGAAAGTTTTTCTTTTTTTGAGGGACCACCCTGCCTTGGTGGGAATTAGGCCAGTGTGGTGTGTTAATATAATATAAAAAGTTCTTGTTATCTTGAGTACTGCTATAGCATGACTGGCTGTGTCAGCATTGGCACTTATTGTGGTCACAAATGGACCCGCACCATAGAAGAGAGGGCCTTACGACGGACGTTACGGTCCGACTTGGACCACTTCAAAGTCACAATAATGAAAAGGAGAAGCGAGGGATGGGTATATGTAGGCAGGAGGTGGTAGTATTTGATTGGCTCCACCTCCTATTATTACCTCCCACTACTACCTTCCTCCTCCAGTACTACCACCACTACCACCTCTGGAGAGCAGGATGGGTTTATTTATAATCAATCCTGCTCTCCGTTTGTGTTAGGGTGTGACTTTGTTAAATGGTCCAAACTCGGACCCGAAATGTCATCGTAATGCTCTCTCTTCTATTGGAGGGTTATTTGTGTATTGTTCCAGTCACGGTATTGTGCCTTTTTTTGTTAATTATTTTTAGGATTATTTGTGATGTTTAACAAGAGGTTATCATCTGGATCGCCATTTACATTTTATAACAGTAATGGAGAATGTAGCCTATGAATCAAATAAAAAGGAAATAAGGGATAAACTGTTAAAAAATAATAAAATTGAAAAGCAATTACTAATAACTAACACCCGGTATTACTTCTGCTAAAATATTAAATTGAAATAGCATTACTAATAAATAACACCCAGGTATCGACTTAATGCTAAAATAATAATTGAAAGCTATTACTAATAACTAACACCAAGTATCTATTACTGCTAGATGTGAACATGGACAAGCTGGTTGTTTTCAGGAAAACGAAACACACCCTAATATTTCCACCCGTACCGGGGGTATCAATCATGGACTCCTGTGTGTGAGAGAGGTGGTACCAACCAAGCCACAGATTCCATCACTATGCCGTGTTCAAGTGAAACTTTCCCAACAAACAATATTAACAAGAACACTGCATGTTACCTTATAAGTAAAAGAAGAAAATTATTTCTCGTTGATGTTCTTAGGAAATGATAGAGGTTAGTCCGGAATAGTGCTGTGGTTTCCGGATTTCTCTCCAGACTTCAGACTCGAACTGCGCCGACTCTCTCTCTGTACAAAACAAATTCGGATTAAGATGTGTTTGGGACTTTTAACCCAGGGTAGGAGGTAGTCTCCCAGTATAACCAGGGTAGGAAGGTTAGTCACCAAGGTTAACCCAGGGTAGGGAAAGTTTAGTCACCAAGGGATATACCAGGGTTAGGGGAGAGTTTGGTCTGTGTAGTAGTAATTTTGAGATGGTCAGTTCTGTCAGTCTTGTAGTAGTAATTTTGAGTATGTCAGTCTGTCAGTCGGTAAGTGGTAATTTTGAGATGGTAATTTCTCGTTGGTTAATGACACCAAAAGAACGCAAATTTGATGGAAAAATGACGGAATTTCGCCTCGCGAAGTTCGCAACCTCGGCGACTCCGATATTTACAAAATTGCGTGTTAGTGATTTCATCACTCTTTGAGCCCTATTTTCGGCTAATTCCGTTGACTCCAGTCGACCAACTCATGGTTTTTTTCTTTTTAGAACTCCATTTATTCTATCGTTTGAGTAAAAGAAACTGCCCATTTACCAATTTCAACTACCCTTTAATTGGTCAAGAAATTTGCAGTTTGGCCAATTTCTCAAAAATTAAAAAAAATATGACAATTTCAAAGATAGGGTCCAGAATTAACAATGCAGACATTCCTTGGCTCTAAAATAACAATTTTCTTTGTTTCATCCAGTCACGTTACAGGCCCTACTGTTTTTACTGTGCTTTCTATTTTGTATTTTTATTCAACAAAAAAAATAGGAAAGATTTACTGTTATGCAGATTACTGCAATATTGTATTATTTGTATAAGAATGTCAACACCATTCATGTACTGCATATTAGAATGGTACTTGGTAATTTATTGGAAAATGACTTCATTTGTTTACTTTTGATCATCGGCAAAAATCAAACATTTCCCTACTGATGAGCTCCATTTCAAGGTTCTTTTCATAGTAAAACCAATCAAAATCACCTTTATTTTTAATAATATGTTTTCCATTCTATCAATGAGACCAAGGAAAACGAGATACAATCCATAAAAATTACTATATGAAAATTAGACCCACAAGTTGGCATTGTAATTAATATAAACGGTCAAGTTTTTTTTTTCTCATTATGCACTGCGTGCTGCAGGATTTTTTTATATGGTGCACCACCGACCACACGACCCATTCTCTCACAACGTGGGCCTACCAGCTTTCTCCGCTTGATTTGAAGCGCTAGAATTTTGGAGTTATTCGTATATACGTCAAAAACGGTGGCTCGTAAGACGTTTATATACGACAAAAAGTCAAAGGGTTCAATCCACTGGCTCTGTTTCCCATTATGATGAGGGAGACTTGAGGAAAAGCATACAACCATCGTTCATTATTTTGAAATTGTACCATGTGTAACAGTACCTACCTATTTTGACATTAATAAACGATTGATTTTATAATAAACATTAGTAAGGTTGGTAGTAGGTTGGTGACAGCAACCTCCCAGGGAAGTACTACCGTCCTGCCAGATGACTGTGATAACAAAACCTGTTCAACTGTTTTGCATGATGGTAGGATTGCTGGTTGCTTTTTCTGATCTCATAACTCGCTGATAACAGGGTATCTTGCTACTCTACTTACACTTTGGTCACACTTCACTGTCCGCCGGCTTATATATATTTACATAAATCTAGGTTTTTTCCATTTTTCTCAAATGGCTTTGTTCTTTTTTTTTTTCTTATATTGTCAATGGGGAAGTCGGAAAAAGATCTTTCCTCCGTAAGCCTTGCGTGTAGTCTAATGAGGCGACCCTTAAAAATGCCGGCGAGAAATGGCGTAGTAACCCCTTCTCCTGTATACTTTTTACTAAAAAATTGAGAAGAAGAAAAACTTTGTAAAAATGGGGTGACTTAAATGTGCGTGGATGTAGTGCGGGTGACAAAGGAAGAAAACAGATGTTGCTGATGTTATGAATGAAAAGAAGTTGGGTTTGTCCTGGCTCTAAGGCGAACACAAGCTGAAGGGGGTAGGAGAGTTACAGTGCGGGGGAAATAAATGGGATTAAATTTCTGGGTATCTGAGGGAGAGTTAGTGCATAGGAAGGGGTCAGCAGTAATGTTAAATGATCAGTTATGGAAGGAGGGAAAAGTGAATATTGGAATGTGTAAATTCAAGAATTTTGTGGATTAAAGTAAAGGTTGGATGCGATGAAGTGGGTCATAATAAGCTGTGTTTGCACCTGGTGAGAGAAGAGAGGAATGCAGAGGGTGACGAAGAGACTTTTGGGAGATGTTAAGTGAAGATAGGAGCCTTTGACCAAGTGAGAGATTAATTGTAGTAGGGGACCTGAATGATAAAGAGGAGGAAACTTTTAGAGAGGGTTGATGGTAGGTAAGTTTGGGGTGCCAGGTGTAAATGATAATGGGAGCCCTTTGATTGAACTTTGTTATAGAAAGGGGTTTTAGTTAAAGGTAATACATATTTTAGGAAAAAAAAAGAGGAATATATAAGTATAACACGATATGATGTAGGGCGAATTGACAGTAGTTTGTTGGATTATGTATTGGTAGATAAAAGACTGTTTGAGTAGACTTCAGGAATGTAAATGTTTATAGAGGGGCCACAGATATATCAGATCACTTTCTAGTTGTAGCTACATGAGGGTAACAAAGGTAGATGGATTCAAAAAAATGGAGAATAGAAGCCATCAGGGAGGGAAAGAGAGTAGGTGAAAGGTTTATAAACTAAATGAGGAGGCAGTTAGCGGTTAAGATATAAAGCTATTGGAGGATAGATGGGCTAATGAGAGATTAGGCATTGGTGTTCGAAGAGGTATGGGGTAGGTTTTAAAAAATGTAGTGTTAAGAGTGTTCAGCAGATGTTTGTGGTTACGGGAAAGTGGGTCTGCAGGAGGGAAGAGGACGCGATGGTGGAACGATGATGTAAAGAGAGTAGTAAGGGAGAGAAAAAGTTAGCATATGTGAAGCTTTTTGACTAAGTAGATGTGATGCTAGGATGGATAGAGTATATGGAGAGAAAAGAGAGAGGTTAAGAGAGTGGGTGAAAGCAATGTATAAACAAGGAGAGCAAATGAGAGAGTGGGTGAGATGTTATCAACAAATTTTTGTTGGAAAATAAGAAAAAGTTTTGGAGTGAGATTAACATAGTTAAGAATGCCTAGAGAACAAATGGATTTGTCAGTTTAAAAAATAGGAGAGGAGAGTTTTTTAAGGTGGTGAGTTAGAGGTATTGGGAAGTTGGAGGGAATATTTTGAGGAATTGCTTAAATGTTGATGAAGATAGGGTAAGCTGTGGATTTTTCGTGTATAGGGCAAGGAGGCAATAACTATCTTGTAGGAGTGAGGAAGGAGCCAGTTGTGAGTGTGGGGGAAGTTCGTGAGGGCTGTAGGTATAAATGAAGGGGTGGTAATGGCAGCCGGGATGATGGGTTAAAGAATAGAAATGTTTTTAAAAGCAGGTGGGGATATAGTTTTGGAGTGGTGTGCAAATTATTTAATCAAATGTATGGAAGAGGGTAAGGTACCTAGGGATTGCAGTGTGAATGATTAGTTCGATGTTTATAAAGGCAAAGGGGAATAAAAGAGAGTGCAAAAAAATTTAGGGGATAGTCTGTATGAGTTCTGTGTATACCTGGGTAAAGTGTTATGGGTAGAGTTATAATTGAAAGATTTAAGAGTAAGACGGAGGAAGAATACGGGATTAGCAGTAATGTACAAGGAGGCTTTAGGATTAGGTTAGGGGTGTGTGGACCAGGTGTTTTACACGCTGAAACATATAACGTGAACAGTATTCTAGATAAGGCTAAAGAGGTCTTTTTGTGGCATTTTTGGATTTGGAAAAGGCGTATGACAGGGTGGATAGGGGGGCGGCAATGTGGCAGATGGTGCAAGTGTATGGTGTAGGAGGTAGGGGGGTTAATGAAAGCAGTGAAGAGTTTTTACGAGAGGACATTTGAGGCTCAAGTTTGAGTATGTAGGAAGAGGGATAATTTTTTCCCAGTATAAAAGTTTAGGCCTTGACAAGGATGTGTGATGTCACGTAGGTTGTTTAATATATTTATAGATGGGGTGTAAGAGAATAAATATGCGAGGGTCCTTGGGCCAGAGGCGTGGAGTTAAAAGATAAAGACATCACACACAAAGTTGGTGTTGTCACAGTCTGACTGCTCTTTGTGATGACACTGTGCTCTTGGGTGATTCTGTAGAGAAGCTGCAGGAGATTGGTGATGAATTTTGGGTAGGGTGTGCAAAAAAGAATAATTAAAGGTGAATACAGGAAAAGAGTAAGGTTATGAGGATAACAAAAGAATAGGTGATGAAAGATTGGAATATCATGATTGGAGGAGAGAGTTGGAGGAGTTGAACGTTATTCCAGATTTTTGGGAGTGGACGATGTCAGCGGATGGGTCTATGAAAGATGCGGTGAATAATAGAATTGATGAGGGAAAAAATGAGTGCGTGGTTGCACTTAGGAGTCTGTGGAGACAAAGAACTTTGTCATTGGAGGAAAGAGGGGAATGTTATGAGAGTATAGTTTTACCAACGCTCTTATATGGGTGTGAAGCGTGGGTGAAGAATGTTGCAGCGAGGAGAAGGTGGAGCAGTGGAGATAGAGTCATGTCTTGAGGGCAATGTTGGGGTGTGAATATAACTGAAGTGAATTCGTTAGTTTGGAAGTTAGCGAGGAGGTTTCGGGAATTACAAAACTGTTGTCCAGAGGGCTGAGGAAGGGTTGTTGAGGTGGTTCGGACTTGTCAAGGAATGGAGCGAAACAGAATGACTTCAAGATTGTATCAAGTCTGTAGTGGAAGGATGGCGGGGGGTAGGGGTCGGTTAGGAAGGGTTGGACGGGAGGAGGGGGTATTAAAGGAAGGTTTTGTTTTGTGCGAGGGGCTTGGACTATCCAGCAGGCAGCGTGGAGAGTGTTTGATAGGATGTGAATGGAGGACAAAAGGTTTTTGGTACTTGACGTGCTGTTGGACGTGTGGCAAAGTAACAATTTATGAAGACAGGATTCCGGAAACCGGGGGGGCAGGCCGGACTTGAGTCCTGGAGATGGGAGGAAGTACAGTGCCTGCAACTCTGAAGGAGGGGCTGTTATGTTGCAGTTTAAACAAACTGTTGTAGTGTTGTTAAAGACTCCTCTTCTGGCAAGACTGTGATGGATCGTGAATGATGGTGGAAAGTTTTTCTTTTTTCCGGTCCACCCTGCCATGGTGGGAATCGGCCAGTGTGATAATAAAAAAAAAAAAAAAAAATTAGTAAATGATTTGCCATGTAAGAGGTGGCTGGAGGCGGTGGAGGATGTCATGTCTAGGGCATTGTGTGGTGCAAATATTATGCAGGTGTATTTGTAGTGTGGAAAAATTAGGACGGTGTGAGTTATCAAAAAGTATTATTTGAGGGCTGAAGAGGGGCGGTGGTTTGAGGTGGTTTAGTATTTAGAGAGAATGGAGCAAAATAGAATGACTTGGTAGGCGTGTATTGATCTGACGGGCTGGAGGAAGGTGGGGTTAGGGGTAGTCATGGGGCAAAATGATGGATGGAAGGGGTTAAATAAAAGAGGTTTTGTGTGCAAGGGGATGGGACAACGCAGAGGAATGTGTGAGCATGTTAGACAAGAGTGAATGGAGACGAATTGTTTTGGGGACTAACGACAATGTTGGAATGTGTGCAGGGTAACATTTTGTGAAGGGGATTCAGGGAGGGAAACCTGTTAGCCAGACTTGAGTCCTGGAGGTGGAAAGTACAATGGTCTGACACTTTAAAGGAGGGGGTTGGGATACTGCAATTTGGAGTGACATCTAAACTTGATCATATCTGAGCACATCTGCAAAGACAATGATATTGTGTGAATGATGTTGATAGAGTTGAATGATAACTAAATAACCAAAAAAAAAGGCACAATACCGTGAATGAAAGATACTGAAATAACCCAGCTCACATAGAAGAGAGGAGCTTACGACGACGTTTCAGTCGACTTGGACCATTTACAAAGTCACACTAGTGTGACCTTGTACAAGGTTTCAAGTCGGACCGAAACGTCATTGTAAGACTCCTCTCTTCTATGTGGCAGGTTATTTGTATATTACATAGTTGAATAATGGTGTGAAAAAGTGTTTCTTTTTTTAGGGGGGAAGGGGTCACCTTTACCTTGGTTGTGACCGCTGATGTGTTAAAAAAAAAAAAAAAATTGCTTATTCGTACAAAGACTGTAAAATCATTGTAAATTTCAGTGGTCCTCTTACCTATAGATCCTCATGCCTGATTGGTACTTTATAAGCATGCTCGGTGCATCCTTCAGCTAACAGACTTCAGCAAACTGGCGTGCCCAAGGTAAGTCGCAGGTTGCTAGTGGAGGTTGACTCTACGGGCTGACAGCATAATCTCGCCCTAGCAAGCTCAACTTAATCGTATTACTCACATGCAGAAAATCTCAAAATACAACTAAAAAAAAAAAAAAAAAAATTGAGATTTATGGCAAAAAATATGACAAAAGACATTTAAATTGGATAAAATTTTAAGTCCCGGGCGACAAAAATAATATACATTAGGGTAAGGTCTCTTAACCCTTAAATGGTCCAAACGTTTATATACGTTTTTTCAACATTTGAAAGTATGTAAAAAAATTTAGATCTTCTTTTGTTTTTTACATTTGAAAATGTGTAAAAAAACTTTTATCTACATTTTATTTTTTGTTATATTTGAAAATATGTAAAAAAAACGTAGATCTACTTTTGGAGCACTAAGAATTTGAACATCGATCTGTTTGGACCGTTTAAGGGTTAAAGAAGTTTATGCATATGGTGAGATTTTTTTACAAAAACAGTATTCCTCCCATATCCACAGGCGATACATACCATGATCTATTGTGGGTACTCATCAATCACGGATAATAGCAAATCCTAAATAGTATGTCATTTTTTTCATTTACATATGTATCTACAATAAAGTTTAACTGATAAATTACGCACTTCACGGCTTGTCTTAGGCTTTCAAGAACTGTCAACATTGCTACTTTTGTGTGTTGGTGCCATTATTAAGGAATAATGAGGGTTATTTTCAGGCCACGGTGAACCACGGAAAATTGGAATCATGGAAGCCAAATCCCCAGATATAAGGGTACGACCATACAGTTACAAAAGCGTATCCTAAATTCAACAAAGCTTTCTAACATAATATTCAGTTTTGAATAAATTCTTTTTTATCAGCATTCACAAAATATTGCACCATGGATCAGATAAGAGCGGTGACTGTATGTGGTACACGATGGCAATAATATCTCAGTAAACAAGCATATAATTCTGATCAAACTGGTCTCTTTTTAACCCGTAAATGGTCCAAACGCATATATACGTTCACTACCGTACTGCCCCAACTTTTTTGAGAAAAAAAAACATTGTTGTTTTTTAATAGCAAAAAAAAAAGCATATGGTACCCAGGCATCCCCAATTATTTTAATATGGTGCACAGTGAGTGCTCACACCCATTCTCACATGTCTAGGCGACTCAGGCTTATCGTGGCAATGTTAAATGTAGGACACATAAAACGTATATATACGTTTGGGGCACTAGCGGTAAAAACGTATATATACGTTTGGACTGTTTACGGGTTAAAGACCAATGAACATTCTTGTGCAGAAAATGTTATTTCTCCTTCACCTCCAAATTAGTCTATTTTCTTGTCAGTGCACTTCATGTTCGTAATAGTTAATTAATAGTAGCTAGTAGTGCTTGTAGTTAATAGTAGATAGTAGTTAGTAGTAGTAGTAGTAGTAGTAGTAGTTAGTAGTAGTTAGTAGTTAGTAGTAGTTAGTAGTTAGTAGAAGTTAGTAGTTAGTAGTAGTAGTAGTAGTTAGTAGTAGCAGACAGTAAAGTAATACATGTAGTAGATAGTAGTAGTAGTAGATAGTAGTACTTAGTAGCAGTTAGTAGTAGTGTATTATTATTATATATATACGGAAGTGCTAAACCCATAGGGGGTCACACAGTTCCTAGGAAAATGGAAGTCAATCAGGTTTGATTTGTGAGAAGAGACGACAGGTTCAATCCCTTAGATCAAGAGCCCCTCCTGTCATCAAGACCCCTCCTGGTGGAACGGAAGATGATCAGGTTTCTAACCCAGGGAGGTGTAGGACAGCTCCAGCTCCCGGGTACTGCAACTAACCTATATCTACTGATAGCCTTGTCTAGTTGTCCAGCCTTCATGTGCAGGATGGGGGCGCGTTGCAGTGCCGTCTCCAGTATGACGCCAATCTTCTTGTTCTCTATGCCATGTGGCAGCGGTGATGTTGAGCCTTCAAGAGAATGTTAAGTGATCGGTACTTTGTGCAGTTATGGTTCCAGTGGAGGTTATTATTTCAGTTAATATTAACAAAATTGTATTACTGTTAAGTCAGCTACTGTAGTGCTCTGCTTATACAGCAGGTTAGGTTCTGGGCTACTGCTGTACAGGAGGGCCCTGCTTATACAGCAGGTTAGGTTCCAGGCTACTGCTGTACAGGAGGGCCCTGCTTATACAGCAGGTTAGGTTCTGGGCTACTGCTGTACAGGAGGGCCCTGCTTGTACAGCAGGTTAGGTTCTGGGCTACTGCTGTACAGGAGGGCCCTGCTTATACAGCAGGTTAGGTTCTGGGCTACTGCTGTACAGGAGAGCCCTGCTTGTACAGCAGGTTAGGTTCCAGGCTACTGCTGTACAGGAGGGCCCTGCTTGTACAGCAGGTTAGGTTCTGGGCTACTGCTGTACAGGAGGGCCCTGCTTGTACAGCAGGTTAGGTTCCAGGCTACTGCTGTACAGGAGGGCCCTGCTTGTACAGCAGGTTAGGTTCCAGGCTACTGCTGTACAGGAGGGCCCTGCTTGTACAGCAGGTTAGGTTCTGGGCTACTGCTGTACAGGAGGGCCCTGCTTGTACAGCAGGTTAGGTTCTGGGCTACTGCTGTACAGGAGGGCCCTGCATGTACAGCAGGTTAGGTTCCGGGCTACTGCTGTACAGGAGGGCCCTGCTTGTACAGCAGGTTAGGTTCTGGGCTACTGCTGTACAGGAGGGCCCTGCTTGTACAGCAGGTTAGGTTCTGGGCTACTGCTGTACAGGAGGGCCCTGTTTATACAGCAGGTTAGGTTCTGGGCTACTGCTGTACAGGAGGGCCCTGCTTGTACAGCAGGTTAGGTTCCAGGCTACTGCTGTACAGGAGGGCCCTGCTTGTACAGCAGGTTAGGTTCCAGGCTACTGCTGTACAGGAGGGCCCTGCTTGTACAGCAGGTTAGGTTCTGGGCTACTGCTGTACAGGAGAGCCCTGCTTGTACAGCAGGTTAGGTTCCAGGCTACTGCTGTACAGGAGGGCCCTGCTTGTACAGCAGGTTAGGTTCCAGGCTACTGCTGTACAGGAGGGCCCTGCTTGTACAGCAGGTTAGGTTCTGGGCTACTGCTGTACAGGAGGGCCCTGCTTGTACAGCAGGTTAGGTTCTGGGCTACTGCTGTACAGGAGGGCCCTGCTTGTACAGCAGGTTAGGTTCTGGGCTACTGCTGTACAGGAGGGCCCTGCTTGTACAGCAGGTTAGGTTCTGGGCTACTGCTGTACAGGAGGGCCCTGCTTGTACAGCAGGTTAGGTTCCAGGCTACTGCTGTACAGGAGGGCCCTGCTTGTACAGCAGGTTAGGTTCTGGGCTACTGCAGTACAGGAGGGCCCTGCTTGTACAGCAGGTTAGGTTCTGGGCTACTGCTGTACAGGAGGGCCCTGCTTGTACAGCAGGTTAGGTTCTGGGCTACTGCTGTACAGGAGGGCCCTGCTTGTACAACAGGTTAGGTTCCAGGCTACTGCTGTACAGGAGGGCCCTGCTTGTACAGCAGGTTAGGTTCCAGGCTACTGCTGTACAGGAGAACCCTGCTTGTACAGCAGGTTAGGTTCCAGGCTACTGCTGTACAGGAGGGCCCTGCTTATACAGCAGTGTTAGGTTTGGGCATACTGCTGTACAGGAGGGCCCTGCTTGTACAGCAGGTTAGGTTCTGGGCTATGCTGTACAGGAGGGCCCTGCTTGTACGCAGGTTAGGTTCTGGGCTACTGCTGTACAGGAGGGCCCTGCTTGTACAGCAGGTTAGGTTCTGGGCTACTGCTGTACAGGAGGGCCCTGCTTGTACAGCAGGTTAGGTTCTGGGCTAATGCTGTACAGAGGGCCCTGCTTGTACAGCAGGTTAGGTTCTGGGCTACTGCTGTACAGGAGGGCCCTGCTTGTACAGCAGGTTAGGTTCTGGGCTACTGCTGTACAGGAGGGCCCTGCTTGTACAGCAGGTTAGGTTCTGGGCTACTGCTGTACAGGAGAGCCCTTCTTGTACAGCAGGTTAGGTTCCGGGCTACTGCTGTACAGGAGGGCCCTGCTTGTACAGCAGGTTAGGTTCTGGGCTACTGCTGTACAGGAGGGCCCTGCTTGTACAGCAGGTTAGGTTCCAGGCTACTGCTGTACAGGAGGGCCCTGCTTGTACAGCAGGTTAGGTTCTGGGCTACTGCTGTACAGGAGGGCCCTGCTTGTACAGCAGGTTAGGTTCTGGGCTACTGCTGTACAGGAGGGCCCTGCTTGTACAGCAGGTTAGGTTCTGGGCTACTGCTGTACAGGAGGGCCCTGCTTGTACAGCAGGTTAGGTTCTGGGCTACTGCTGTACAGGAGAGCCCTGCTTGTACAGCAGGTTAGGTTCTGGGCTACTGCTGTACAGGAGAGCCCTGCTTGTACAGCAGGTTAGGTTCTGGGCTACTGCTGTACAGGAGAGCCCTGCTTATACAGCAGGTTAGGTTCTGGGCTACTGCTGTACAGGAGAGCCCTGCTTATACAGCAGGTTAGGTTCTGGGCTACTGCTGTACAGGAGGGCCCTGCTTGTACAGCAGGTTAGGTTCTGGGCTACTGCTGTACAGGAGAGCCCTGCTTATACAGCAGGTTAGGTTCTGGGCTACTGCTGTACAGGAGAGCCCTGCTTATACAGCAGGTTAGGTTCTGGGCTACTGCTGTACAGGAGGGCCCTGCTTGTACAGCAGGTTAGGTTCTGGGCTACTGCTGTACAGGAGAGCCATGCTTGTACAGCAGGTTAGGTTCTGGGCTACTGCTGTACAGGAGAGCCCTGCTTGTACAGCAGGTTAGGTTCTGGGCTACTGCTGTACAGGAGAGCCCTGCTTGTACAGCAGGTTAGGTTCTGGGCTACTGCTGTACAGGAGAGCCCTGCTTGTACAGCAGGTTAGGTTCCAGGCTACTGCTGTACAGGAGGGCCCTGCTTGTACAGCAGGTTAGGTTCTGGGCTACTGCTGTACAGGAGAGCCCTGCTTGTACAGCAGGTTAGGTTCTGGGCTACTGCTGTACAGGAGAGCCTGCTTGTACAGCAGGTTAGGTTCTGGGCTACTGCTGTACAGGAGAGCCTGCTTGTACAGCAGGTTAGGTTCTGGGCTACTGCTGTACAGGAGAGCCCTGCTTGTACAGCAGGTTAGGTTCTGGGCTACTGCTGTACAGGAGGGCCCTGCTTGTACAGCAGGTTAGGTTCTGGGCTACTGCTGTACAGGAGAGCCCTGCTTGTACAGCAGGTTAGGTTCTGGGCTACTGCTGTACAATAAAAATTGCTGTAAAGTGAAACAGTTTTTTTCCACTTTTAAATGCATATAAAAGTCTAATAACATGTCTACGCTATCATATATTAAGTGAGCAACAAAACTAGGCCTAAAAAATGTAGATATAATACACACATTACTTGCCTTAAAAAATTTTCATCCTCGGCTTAAAAAGTGGTGAATATATTGCAGGAAGTCTGAATAAATAAAGACGGGCTATAACTGAAAACTGCCGTATATGTGAAATGCTGTAAAGTGAAGCACTAGGATTAGTCTGCCCAAAATTCACAGCAATGACAGAGGCTTTATTTTCAGCCACCACGACTCTGGTGGCCTGGTGGTTAACGCTCTGGCTTCACACGGCGAGGGCCTGGGTTCGATTCCCAGCCAGAGTAGAAACATTGGACGTGTTTCTTTCCACCTGTTGTCTATGTTCCCCATCAGTAAAATGGGTACCTGGGTGTTATTCGAATCCTGGGACACTGACCTAAGGAGGCCTGGTCACAGACCGGGCCGCGGGGGCGTTGACCCCCGGAACTCTCTCCAGATAAACTCCAGATAAACAGTGGACCCCCGGTTAACGATATTTTTTCACTCCGGAAGTATGTTCAGGTGCCAGTACTGACCGAATTTGTTCCCATAAGGAATATTGTGAAGTAGATTAGTCCATTTCAGACCCCCAAACATACACGTACAAACGCACTTACATAAATACACTTACATAATTGGTCGCATTCGGAGGTGATCGTTATGCGGGGGTCCACTGTATATTCTTTCCGTGTAAACTACGTTATCTATGTACTGTGTATTATTATTATTACTGGCAGTTATGTTGTATAAAACTTATTATTATTGGGTAGTTCTAAACCCAGGGGCCATATAGAGCCTGGGGAAATAGCAGCTATTACTCTATATTGATGAAGGGCTAAATACAGCCTGGGGAGTGCAGACACTGTACATTCCACCTCTAGAACATCCACTGCAGCAGGGGTTGGGGAACCGGGGTAAAAATAAAAATCTCGGGTGTAAGGCTCAATAAACATAAACAAAAGTGCAAAAAATTTATTATTTAATAAGCGAGAGATAGACAGTATAATAACCAATGTGACATGTTAACAATGAAAATAAGATAGATATATTAAGCACATTTCCTAAATTTGCTTATAACAGCTAAGTGAACTGTGGATATAAATCAAGATGAGTATTCTTGATACACAAAAGGCCTCCTTTTGAGGCCTATTTTGTATCCCTATGGTCTTGCGCTACCATCCACAGAATAGATAAGGGGTGCACAATAAACTAGCATCTTTGGTGGCTAAATCTAATAAGCGAGGGAAATTATAAATATTATATTTTTCCATGCAAATAATTTTTAGTCTAGTGGGTAATTTCTCTGTATACAAATCTGTTTTGGGCTAATACCCAAAAAGAGTTTGCTGACCTCTGTACTACATATATTCACACTACACCTGAACATGGGTTAATTACCGGTGGTGTTGCTTGCCGGCAATGACTGCAAGGAATGTGTTGACGGCGTGGATGATAGCTTGTCCTGCTCTTGTAGATACAACAGCGTCAGGTCGCCCGCCAACTCGAAACACTTAATCATCTTTTCTGCCTTCTCCGCACGCTGGTATTTACTGTTATTTGTGAGCGGCACCTTCTCTGACGACAAGCCTAAAATGAATGCCAGACTTGACTTCCCATAGGTAAGCAAGCAAGATTAAAGATTCTTCATTTCAACATGATACAATGGTGAATAACATTTAGGTGTGCATGCAGAAAGCCCCCTTAATACGCAGAGCATTTCGGCCAAACTTGAACCCACTGTAAGATTAATAAGTTTATGTACAGACCCAAGAAGTACAATTACCATACACAGCAACACATGCAAAAGAATCACTGTGAAAAAATAGTGAATTTCCAAGTGCTTTCATGATTTCTCACATTATCAAAGACCTGTTCCTTGATAATGTGAGAAATATTGAAAATACTTGGAAATTCACTATTTTCAGTCATTATTTTGCACATGGTGATATCGCCTGTTTACTGTTATCCTATTGCATAGTAACATCTGTGAAAATTACCCAGGATATCCCCAAAAAAAGTCAATGACTTATTACTACCTGTTGCTGTCTTGCAACACTGCACAGCTCTTAATGATGCACAAGAGTGCAAAAGATCTTGACCTAAAGATTTCCATCCCCATATGGTTCCTGTGTAAATCACTTAGGATAACCCCACTCCCCATAAAAAGAGTAACTATGCAATTTTATGCAAACCTATTGAGTCAGCTCTCTTATAAACCTCCTCTATACAGTGGAACCTCAGTACTCGAACTTAACCCTTAAACTGTCCAAGCGTAGATCTACGTTTGCACCGCTAGCGCTCTAAACGTAGATCCATGTTTTATTTTACATGCTTTCAAATGTAAAAAGAAACATAGATATACGTTTGGAGCACCATGCATGTGAATGTAGATCTGCACTTGGACAGTTTAAGAGCTAATTCGTTCCAGAAGCCGGTTCGAGTGCCGATCTGAGTACTGAACGAATTTTTCCCAACCAATTTTCTTTTTTGTTGGCTGTTATCACTAATCTTCTTAGGCCCCATGGTGACTTATTTATACAAATAATAAAAAAAAAAAAAAAAAATGTGAAGAAACACAAATTAGTTAATGGCGAAGTTCTGGCAAGTCTTGTTTGTTTGGTCGAGTGCCTAGCAAATGGTCGACTACCTAGCAACTTTTTTACCAAAGCGTTTGAATATCAAATTGTTCAAGTAGGGAGCTGTTTGAGTACCGAGGTTTCACTATGTAGTGTGATTTGCAAATGTGACTGAAGGAGTGTATCCAAAATTGAAAATACATATTATGAAGGCCTATCCACATGCTATTCAATTTTTAATGTGTATTTTCAATCACATTTACAAAATATCCCCTTTATATGAGAGCCAGCTTTATATATTAAACAGTGTATACTATAAGAGGAGCTTCATAAGCTAGCTTTATATATTAAATAAGTATATAATATAGCTTTATAAGAGCTATATTTATACAACTAGCCCTCCACTTTCATGAGCTTCGAACATTCATGAATGCCCAGGTGATGAGTGACATTGATAGGAGCGTAATTCCCTACAAAACTCTGTTTGTAGATATGAAGAGTAAACGGTCTCAGTTGCCCATCACACTGTTCTTCACAAGGAAGCCTGCCGCTACGCCTACCGCCTGAACCTCAACCCGTGGCAGAATCTGACTCCGTGCTAACTCTGACTCTAGCAATGTCAGCAGTGATGCTGGCAGTGAACAGTTAGAATCTACACACTAGACTCATCATGCCATGCAGTTACACTCCATACAATTGCCTCCATTCAACTGTCATCAGTAACTTCATGGCTATCATCACTATCATCATCGTCATTGTCATCATCATCACAAGTCGTCAGAGCTTGTCTGCCTAACCTTACGAGTGGTGAGTGTTTTGCTTGTTCATTATTTGTTATTAAACCTGTGGCATGCAAAGAGTACGTAACCTTTATTCGGCGCATGTACACACCCTCATTTACAGGCTATCTCCCCCAACCAGCGAACCAGGTTGCTAAGAGTTGATGATGGGGCCCCGTCGTTCAACTAGTGACCAGGTTCTAGCCAATAAGAAGATGGTTTTGGCAATCGCAGAGGTTATGTGGGTACCGCTCTCCTGTCTGCCCTTGTCATTCCCATTCTAGAGCTGGTTGAAGCACGGTCTGCTATTTTGTGGCTTCTATTTCTGCTTTGCTTACCGTGGAGTGCACTATACTTATCACTGTACATAGTCTACATATTGCTGTTCTAAATTGGTGAAGGATAATATAAGTCTAAACTTTTTCTACTGTGATATTTTGCTCCCATTACACCCGGGATAACAGGCCATTTGGAATCCTGAATTGTAATAAAACCATAATGTGTATATACAATATTTTACGATGTTTTCATGTGTTTTATGATTGTTCATGGTTCAATAAGTTAAGGAAGCAGTATTGTTAGGCTAAGTAAATGCTATTATTATATTTCCCAACAATATACAGTGGACCCCCGTTTTACGATTACCTCCCAATGCAACCAATTATTTAAGTGTATTTATGTAAATGCGTTTGTATGTGTATGTTTGAGGGTCTGAAATGGAATAATCTAATTCACAATATTCCTTATGGGAACAAATTTGTTCAGTAATGGCACCTGAACATACTTCTGGAATGAAATAATATCATAAACCGGGGGTCCACTGTATTTGCACATCAAAACATTCGTGAACGCTACAGTACAGTATTATTACGTTTCCCTACATCATATTTGCGCACCAAACATTCGTCAATTTTCAAGCTTCACGAGGCTCTTGACCCCCTAGCCCTCACAAATGTGGAGGGCCTCCTATATCTTTCTTTTTTTTTCAACAAGTCGGCCGTCTCCCACCAAGGCAGGGTGACCCAAAAACAAAGCCCAAAAAGAAAATACTTTCATCATCATTCAACACTTTCACCTCACTCACACATAATCACTGTTTTTGCAGAGGTGCTCAGAATGCAACAATTTAGAAGTATATATATGTATAAAGATACACAACACATCCCTCCAAACTGCCAATTTCCCAAGCCCCTCCTTTAAATTGCAGGCATTGTACAGTGGACCCCCACCTTACGATGGCATCGCGTTACGTTAAATCCGCCATACGATACGTTTTAATGCAAAAATTTTGCCTCGTCTCACGCTAAAAAACTCGCCTTACGTGATTTGTCCAGGACGCATCCCACGTGTGGCCTCAGCGCCAGTGTTTACAAGCCAGCCAGTGTGGTCGCATCTACGCATACATTCAGTACATTTCACAATATCCCAGTGTTTTTAGTGCTTGTAACTGCAAAATAAGTCACCATGGGCCCCAAGAAAGCTTCTAGTGCCATCCCTGTGGTAAAAAGGATGAGAATTAATATGGAATTGAAAAAAGAGATTAAGGGAATGTGTGCAAAGTGGCTTGAAGTGCAAACCTTTATGGATGAAAATCACCCTGACACAGCTATTGCAAGCCGTGCTGGTGACTATTACAATGACAATGTTGTGAACCACTTTAGACAAATCATAAAAAAAACAAGAGGTACAGAGCTCTATGGACAGATATGTTGTGCGACAGAGGTCCAGTGACTCTCAAGCTGGTCCTAGTGGCATTAAAAAAAGAAGGGAAATAACCCCGGAAAAGGACTCGCTACCTCAAGTCCTAATGGAAGGGGATTCCCCTTTTAAACAATAACTTCCACACTCTCCCCTCCTCCCGTCCCATCAATCATCACCAGATCTTCAATAAAGGTAAGTGTCATGTATTCTATTCTTAGCAGAGTATTAACTGTGTATGTCTTCTTCAGATTGTGTGTATTAAAATTAATATCTCATGTGGTAAAATTTTTTTTTTCATACTTTTGGGTGTCTTGCACGAATTATTTCTTATGGGGAAAATTCACTCACCTTACAATAATTTCGGCATACGATGAGCTCTCAGGAACAGATTAATATCATAAGGCAGGGGTCCACTGTACTTCTCATTTCCAGGACTCAAGTCCGGCTATATAAAATAACCGGTTTCCCTGAATCCCTTCACTAAATATTACCCTGCTCACACTCCAACAGCTCGTCACGTCCCAAATAACATTCTTCTCCATTCACTCCTATCTAACACCCTCACACACTCTTGCTGGAAGTCCAAGCCCCTCGCCCACAAAACCTCCAACCCTTTCGAGGACGACCCCTACCCCGCCTTCCTTCCCCTATGTATGTTAAATACATGTATATATAATAGAGGAGCTTTATGAGAGAGCTAGCTTTATATAATAGACTTTTTGCTTACTTTAAATGTTATAAAGTGCCCAAGGATCAATTAGGGGATAATCAACCTAGATGCTGATACAAAGTATATTAAATCCTTAATATAAATACAGTGGACCCCCGACTCACGATCAGCTCCCAACGCGAACGATTATGTAAGTGTATTTTTGTAAGTGCTTTTGTAAGTGTATTTTTGGGGGTCTGAAATGGACTAATCTAATTTACAATATTCCTTATGGGAGCAAATTCGTTCGGTAACGGCACCCAAACAGACTTCTGGAATGAATTAATATCGTAAGTCGGGGGTCCACTGTATTGTATTATAGTATTTCTCAGAGTATATATGTTGAGAAAGATACTTTTCTTGGTGTATATACAATGTATATACACAGATACACTGTTGTGTAAAATAACTGCAGTGAAAAAAACAGTGAAATTCCTGGTGCTTTTGTGAGAAATTACGAAATTATTTGGAATTTCGATATTTTCCCACTGCGGTTACTTTGAATTTAACATGTTTACAGTGATCCTATTGAATATACACAGTTCTTAGTGTATATACAGAGATATACACCTCCCAGTGTATATACAGATATATACATCTCCCAGTGTATATCCACACAGTACACACCACCCAGTGTGCACGGAGATATAAATCTCAGTATATACACAGATATACACCTCTCAGTGTATATATAAAAGGCATAAAGAGAGCAATGGTGTGTAAAAATAATACAGTATTTATCTATGCACATATTGCACAGTATTAAAGAATTAACAACAATACTCGTATTACACGAGAATTTTAGCTTTATCAAAGTATTGT